TAAAGTACTGTGAATATGGCATGTAGACAGTATTTAATGAATGAAAATTACATTATTAGTAATTTCAACCAGAACTATGACTTTTCTTCACATGTCCACATTTTGATTCTCTATTACCTTTTCCCTAGAGTTACTTCAAACCTACTTCTACTCCTTCCAATTCAAATAATCTACCTACATTATTGAGAAGCGATAGGCCATCGATTTTTCAGTATTTATTGAGAACTTATTTCCAGACCTATCCAGTCTCCGTCTACACCAGATCATTGTTTTCTTTGCATAAATCTTCTCCCATAATTTTAAAAATAAAAACATAAGCAAACCTCATGTCAACATGCTTACTGCTTTTTCTTTCTTCCTTCTGTTTCCATTGTTTTTCAATCTGGCTTTCACACCAAGTCTACTTAAATAGCTCTCTCTTAAACATGACATACTATGGCCTTCTCTTAGCTATTTTTTCCCTTGAAATCTGAAGCACTTATTCTTAAAAGATGTCTTAAAACATGACACTACTTATACTTAGTACTACTTCTGTTTTTTATTACAGTGTATCATCCTTTGCTCTTAATTCCATTTCTTCACTGGTTTTCTCAACAGTTATTATTCGGTGCCTGTTATGGGCACTCAAATGCTGGTCATACAGAATCTATAGAGAGAATCTAAGATTGTGTTTTCTCTCCCCTTCTCTACAACCTTAGCACTTTTCTCTTAGCAATCTCACCCACTAAAAATGCTAATTTAAGTTTCCAATCATAATCTGCCACAGAATTTCATCGCTATGGTCACATTTGCCTTCTGTTCTTCTGGTTTCCTACCTGTTCCTCAAACTCCCCATGTTCTAAATGGATGTTACAATATTCACCTAACTAATGCTTTCTTTTAAATCCTGCATATCTGCTAATATCATCTTCTAGTTACTAAGGCTTTAAGATTTAAAGTGATCTTTGTGGGGCACCTGGGTGGCTCCGCAGGTTAAGCATCTGACTTTGGCTCGGGTCATGCTCTCGTAGTTCTTGAGTTTGATCGCCACATCGGGCTCTGTGCTGACAGTTTGGAGACTGGAGCCTGCTTCAGATTCTGTGTCCCCCCACTACCGCCCCTCCCCCACTCTCTCTCTCTCAAAAATAAATTTTAAAATATTTTTTAAAAAAGAAATAAAGTGATCTTTGTTTTGGTCCTTAAACCTATCTCTGGTTTATCCTCTGCTACCATTATTTGCTTCTACTTCTAGATATTTGACTTTCTTTTTGGAATATCATAACTAATCAGTTGACACTCGAACAATGTAGGAGTTAGGGGCAGTGACACCCCATGCAGAAACCCACCTGTAACTTTGACTACCCAACAACTTAACTACTAATAGCCTACTGTTGACTGGAAACCTTACCAGTAAAATAAACGGTCAATTAATACATATTTTATATGTTGTATGTATTATACTCTGTATTCTTACAATAAAGTAAGATAGAATAATATGTTATTAAAATCATAAGGGAGAGAAAATACATTTACAGTACTGTACTATATTTATTGAAAAAAATCTGCATGTAAGTGGATTTGTGCAGTTCAAAACCATATTGTTCAAGGGTCAACTTTTAAAACTACCTTTCCAAAATCCTTCCTTGTCTTCTAACAAAAATCTAATTCCTTAGCCTTTGTATTTGATCTTCTCTAATGACTGCTTAAATTTTATAGCTTATAAGTCCCCTATTGCCTGGGTTTATGCCTTTGTCCCTCAGTAGTTCCTTCCGTATTTGTGCTTCTCACTTTCACACCTACATGACCATGCAAAGGCCGTTCTTAACATACCATACTCTGTTTAACTTTGCTCTGGGAATCCCATCCATCCTTCAAGGTCCAAACTAAGCATCATTTTTTTTTTTTTATATCCCCTTGTCCTTCATCTCTCTAGATATTAGAACTGTTCCCTCTTCTGAAACAGTAAAATATTTTTGTCATTCATTGTATGATATGTTATATCATCTTATTTCACTTAGGAAGCTTCGAGGTCCTTGAGGATACAGACTTGTGTCATTCCAATTTATATTCTACAGGATACTGACTACACTGCCTTACTTAATAAGCATATGTTAAAAGAATCCATTAGTTGAAAAGATCTCTCTCTTCCAAGGGGATTACTTATTTCTGAAGTGCACTGATAAAGTAATAAACTGTGTATCCTGGCTGAGTGGTCTTAAAGAATACAAAGTAATTGCTATGCTTTTGCTAATTTCTCTTTCTCTCTCATCCAGTTAAAATGTCAAGAGAAGACCTTCTCTGAGCCAAGGACAAGGACAGGGACACCAAATCTGTGGAGATGTTTAGTGTCTATGAGACTGCCATGCATACAGATGACTACAATGTGAAATGAAAGAAATTTTAGCTGAGAACTTCTATGAAAAAAAACACTCCATATGAAAAAATTACTACCCCAGAATACATTTATAAGCATGATTTTTTTGAATGTTCTTTATCAAACCTTAAAAAAATTAGTTGCTTCCATCCTTATCGCTCTCTCTGAAACTTAGCATAGCAAATATAATGATGGGTTTTCTTAACCAAGTCCCAAAATTATAAAAATCTTGCAGAAATAGTGTATTTATTTCCCATAAGGCTACTTAGACTGTCTAACATCAATTTTATTTGATTGGGTCTAGAATTTTGACTCACAGGTGATATAAGTTACAGTATTTCAAATGGTGTTTACTTGGTGAAAACAATGTTTTAAGGACATGCTGAAAGGGGATTTGGTGATTTCTTCTTTTAAAAAATGTTCGTGGTGAGTTATGCCTGCATTAGGAGGTGTGATCTTTTTATAATCCATACCTAGTAGGTGCTCAGTATATGGTGGCTGAATGATAACAGTTGGAGAGCCCATCTGTCTGTGCAGTTTTCTATGATTTAGGGATTTTCAAAATTCAGCTTTGGAACAAAAAGGCTAGTTAAATATAGAAGAGTGCATGCTACTCTGGAGAATTTTAAATGTTCAAGTGGGCAACACAGACATATTTTCTAAAAGTTAACTAAATTACTCAGTATAATAATAAAAGAAGTTCAGTGGTATTATATAACTTTTAAATATTGATTATATTTCTAGGTTTTATCTCCTGTTAGCACTCAACTCAGACAGGAAAACGGGCACATTCTTTATGATTAGAAAGGACTCTTTTGCCATTAGACCATGCTAAATTGATAGTTTTTATAGCCTGACAAGAGACCAAGTCATCATTACCTGGAGGGAAACACTTAAATCATCTGAGGATGGCTATTCTGTTCTGAAGGAAAGTTTGAGTTGACTGCTTGAGATTCTAACTCTCACTTCCCAGGTGGCAAGGGTTAGTTTTGCTGCAGAACTGACAGTTTCTACCCTCTGGGTGGGAAGATTAGATTGGGAAATGTATAGGAGGGGAGCTTGTCAAAGAAATTCAAGGAGCAGAGCTGATAAGTTCTAGAGGGAATTCTAACCTGGTCCTCTGATTGAATCATAAATGCTTATATTTTATGGACTTACAAAAGTGTGCAGAAGATAAAGAGGAAGAAGCAGAAGAAAGAGCAAAGAGAAAAAGGTGTGGGAGGAAAATATATCAGAAGAGGCATAAAACTCTATGGCTTGTCCAGCTTATCGTTTGTTGAGTTGTGAATAAAATACAAATTTGGGGAGCAATTTTGGTGATGACTGAAATTTTTTTTAGACATTTCTTTAATGGTGATTCATGGAGCCTGGGTATCAGATTGCATTAAAATTTCAGACTCTAGGAAATAATTTTTAACAAACAATAGGAATTCATTTTTATGTCTCTGGACTGGCTGCCACAGCTCAGTTCCAGGCAGGATAAAATCCATGTGTGTTTCTTATGTTTCTCTTATAAAAAAGAAACAACTAGTAAAGAAATAAGTTGTTGGAGGGTGTGAATTTCTAATGGGTATGAAGTGGGATATGTAGTCATAAAGGAATTTTTCCCCCTAAAACTAGCCTATGGTTTATATTTATACTTTTGCTACTTATAATCCATTGCTTCATATTTAAAAAATTCAGTGCAGTTGGAAATATCTTCTTGAAGGTTTATTTATATTTCATACACAAATTTGTGTTATCCAGGATTGATCATCATTTGGGATGTTTCATATTGATTACATGTCTGCCCTTTTGCACTGATACCGTTATAGGTGAAGTAGACTCTTAAACTAACATTTTCTTCTATTATTCTAAATATTTATATTGATCACATGTTTTACTTGGACATATGGCTATATCCAGCCTCTAAACAAAGCAGACAGGTAATAAAAATAATCATACTGGTATAATACTGGTAGTACTCTTTCTCAGACCCAGTTTGCCTTACATATATTAATTCACGTAAGCTTCAGAACAATTATATGAAATAAGTACTATTATTGCCTACACTTTTCAAGTGAGAAAAGTGAGAAACAGAGGTTAAATAATTTTTCTAAGTAAGCATGGTAAGAGTCAGAGCCAGAATTTGAACCCAAGCAGCCTGAATACTTGGTACTCCCTAGTCTCTACTTCTGCAGTTCAACTTTTAGTTGAGCCAAGGGTAGATACATAGCTATGTTACTCCAGAGCTATATTTTAATACAATTATTTATTAATTTGGGTATTCCTCCCTTACTAGATTATGAGCTTGTAAGAATAAGAGCTATGTTTTATTAACTTTGTCATATACAGTGCTCAATAAAAATTTTATAACTCCTGAATTACAGCTTATTATTGCCTTGAGATACTCTGTCCAGAAGGCTGTCCAAGAGAAGTCACTGGTTTTATAAGCACAGAACTTTTAGATCCACAAAACAAAATTTTAATTTTTATCTGTAAGTGGGGTGCTGTATTCATAATTCTCTTATTTCTTTTCTAAGAGTACAGTAGCATGAATAAAACAGACTTTTTGATTGATAAAAGATAATTTTAGAGTCATGTTACTTGATTGACATTTTTTTCATCTTCTATTCTCTTTCTCTCTCTCTAATACTCTTTCCTACAGGGTGCTGCTCTAATTAGAATGCTGGCTAATTTTATGGGCCATTCAGTATTTCAGAAGGGTTTGCAAGTGAGTAAAATGCTTTCTATTTTTTATATTTTCCTTGTCAGTATATTTATTTTACAGATATTCCACAGCTTGGGAAATTGCCAATACAAAATGGCTGAATTTAAGGGAAAACTTTAAGATGTGTAGGGTATGCAGCGTCTTTCCATATGACAAATGACAGTAGTAGATAGGATTCTCACTGTATCAACTGGGAAAACTTGGAACTATTGTGCAATTTAGATTTGTTTAATATGTATTTTTAAACTGAAATATTTTTCAAATATATGAGATTGTAAATAATTGGTATAAGATTTTCTAAAAGCCTACTTCACTTTCCTTCAGTTTGAAAGTTTATGTAACGTGAAAATAAATTATATTAGCTTTACGTGTATTTGAGAAAATCTTAATGCAATTTTTCGGATATGTGCCTTTTCTGTTGTTGTCTTACTATTGATATTCATAAATTGCTATTTGTTCCAAATCTATTTAAATGTTTTTAAACTTAGTAATACAATGTTTTGAATAAAGAAAAAAAAAGAAATAGCCTTATCATACTGCATTTGAAGTATAAAGTATGGAATCTAAGAGTGGATTTTAAAAAAGAGGATTCTTAAACTCTTTAATGCAAACACAAATATAGAAAAACAGAACTTTTATTCCATTGAATCTGTTGGAGTAAATCATGTTCCTAGCAGCTGTGATTGATGAATTATTTATGATGCATTCTGCTACTTAGAAGTGTCCTTTAAAGTAAATTGATGTTCACCTGAAATACAATTATGCTAAGACAGAGAGAGCAATCAATCTTATCTGTTCTTTGTAAAGCTTTTCATTTTGAAATTTAAATAAACTACGTATGAGATTAGGTCATATTTTAGTAGTATAATTCTATCTTTGCCCAAAATAAACTAAATGATAAAATGCAAAGCAAGAGTTAAGTATGTTATGACAAAGCTACATATACTTAGGACAACAAAGAAAAAATATATAAATTTGTTGAAGAGTAATTTCCTTTAGAAGATATTCTTACAGATTTGTTACAGCAGGGGTTGAAATTTACTTTAAGTGGCTCTTTCCGTTAGGAACACCTTCAGAATAGCTGAATTCTATTGAACCTATTTGCAGGGTGCTAAAGTCTCCATTCGGATCACATAGTTGGGAAAATCTTTTTTCTCAAGGAGTGTCCTCCATGAATATCAACTGTCTGGAGGAATGTCCTTCCTATCCCCAATCCTTTGTTTTTTCTGCATTGAAGTCGTAGGATGTGACAGTTCCAGAAAATATCTAAGCTTTCATAAGGGCAACACAAATTGAGTTTGATTTCCTGGTAGCAAGTTGATGTGAAATCATTTTCTGTATAAAATTTTTATTGTTTTTCCTCAGCTGTGTGTATGGATTTACTCAGCAGATTGAGTAACTCTAGTTATATTATTTGGAAAGGATTATTGTTTTGTAAAATTTTTCTTTATCCTGTCATATTTTTGATGGTATGCAAAAGGCATCTATTTTTAATACACACTTTTCTACTGACCCAGACTATTCAGTTTTATCGGAAACAGAAGTTACCCTCTGACTCCTATTATATTAAATTTTTATTTGAAGCTTGTATTGTGTGCCTTTATGCTCTAATACTTGATTTGGTTAATTTTCAACCAAGGGGACTCTATGTTTGTCAACATTGCGTTTCATTTGCCTTGTGACATCTCATTGATCAGATGGATCCGTATCCTTCAGTACTTCGCTTGCAGCTTTATTTATACTCATCACTCAAACTGATTTAGTGTATCATCAGCAGTTTGGATTAGTTTACAGTAGATCCCTATGTCTAGGTGATAAATTATCATCTCTTGTGCATGAAGATTTATGGGATACGTTTTGGAAATGACCTCCTGAACAGACACTTCATGTCATGGTGCTGAGTGGTCACAGAGTTGATATTAATATATTTCCCATCCACGAGGCTCTGGGGAGTCTTGGTTTACATGCTGTTGTAGGAGCTAATCTGGACTGTCAATGCTTACCTCTGCTTGGAAAATCTATTAATTGTTTTTACATGAACCATGGCTATTTCTTAGATGACAAGTGAAGGTTTATATAGCAGACAGACCCAGAGTTAGATTCACAGGTGTAGTCAATCCCAAATTGCAAATAGTATGCTTTTCATATGTATTTTTTCCCTCCTTTGTTTTCTTCCTTCCTCCTTTTCTTTCTTTCCTTTCCTCTCCTTCTTTTTTCCTTCAATTTAGTTACTTGTACCTTTCATGTTCCACATAGGAGCAATATTATAATGGCGGTTTCTTTTAAAACCTTTTTAACGCCTTTATTCATTTTTTGAGAGACAGAGAGAGACTGCGAGCAGGGGAGGGGCAGAGAGAGAGGGAGACACAGAATCTGAAGCAGGCTTCAGGCTCTGAGCTGTCAGCACAGACAGAGCCTGATGCAGGGCTTGAACCCACGAACTGTGAGATCATGACCTGAGCCGAAGACTGCTGCTTAACCAGCTAAGCCACCCAGTCATCCCAATGGTAGTTTCTTTTAAAATTTGTGTCCTCTTAACAATATTTGTATCCTTATGACCCATCTTAAACACTTTTGGGAACAAGGCAAATATTTTTTACAAATACAACCACAAACTATATAAACTATAATACAGTTGACCCTTGAACAATACAGGGGTTAGGAGCACTAATCCACCCCTCGCTCACACAGCCAAAAATCCACATATAATTTTTGACTCTCAAAAACTTAACTACTGGTGCCTTACTGTTGACTAGAAGACTTACTGATAACATAAATAATCAATTGATATACTTTTGTATGTTATATATATTATACATTATATTCTTACCATAAAAGTAAACTAGAGAAAAAGTATTATTAAGAAAATCACAAGGATGAAACAATATATTTACAATACTGTACTATAAAGAATTAACATATAAGTGGACTTGTGCACTTCAAACCCATGTTGAGTTTGAGAATCCTTGAAGATAAACTGTATATATTTTATAATATATACAATATAAATTTTTAAATCTAATATAAATTAGTATATGATAAATATAAATAGATAGAACATAATTTATAAATATATTTATAGATTAAATATAATAAAAGTAATACAGAAAAGTAGTAGGTTTCTGGAAAGTTTCTGGATCAGTTCAGATGTTCATATTTAACTTACAAGTATCTGAGTATCAATTCAACTATATTCATCTAGCTTTGGTATTGTGTTCTTTTGGAAAATATATTTTCTTTTTTTTTTTTGAGTTTTTAAAAAGTTTGAATTTTTGAGTTTATTTATTCTGAGAGAGAGAGACAGACAGACAGACAGAGTCAGAGAGAAAGGGAGACAGAATCTCAAGCAGGCAGCATAGAGCCCAATGTAGGGCTCAACCCACCAACACCCAGCCACCCAGGCACCCCTGGGAAATATATTTTCAATTTCAATTCACATATATATTCCTCAGGAGAAATGGACTCTAGAGACTTTTTGAGAAAAGTTTTGTTCCTAATAATCATATAATTCATTTGATCAGCTATGAGGAAGTTTAATAAATAGTTTCATGCAGAATAATCACGACTTTCCTTGGTCTGGTCTTCTTGATTTTTTTGGTCTAATTCCCTTATTTCCTGAATTTTATTTGATGCTTAAATGGTTCAGTTTAGCATAGTTTTAAAATAAATTGCCTCAGAACTTCTTTTTGTGAATAGACAGTATTAAAATTTAGTCCTGGCTACCATTAATATGTCAACTTCTGTTTTGATGTTTAAATTGAAAGTGAAATGTGGAGCAAGCCAAGCGTGAACCCTTGTTGGATTATGTATGCTCTCATAAATAATATATTTTTAAAATATAAAAATGTTTATATTTTTTGCAGACTCTACATATCTACTGTTTTACATAATCCATTTCCCAAAATAATAGCTGGTGTATTTTGTGAAGCATGAGGTAATGGAAATGATTCTCATTTCTGATTTTAATCAATGGTAGAGCTTTCTACAAGTCACTAAATCCTTCTTGGACCCTGACTCTATAGTTGTAAAATGCAAGAGTTCAACTAAATATTCTCTAAGACTTTTGTCATCTTTCAGAATGTCCAAATGTAAGATTTATTTAATGCATTTTACTAGTTAGACAATTTGGGTTTGATACTTTAATTTGAGACAGCTGTTTTAATTTGATGGGAAAATTTGTAAACTCGATGCGCAAAGTGAGTAACTCCCTGTTTTTGAATTCTTAGTTATCTGACTTTTAAGACTATATGGCCTTCAATGTAGATAGTACTGTAACTATAGTCAAATCAGACCAGAATTGTCTATTACAGAGAATTTTTGCTGGTGATATTCTTTTTGTCCACTACTAAGAAACTGCTTACATTGCCTTTGCCTTTTAGTAATTTTTTATATTATGTTGCATTTTTTATATTTTGCTCTGGATATATTACCTGTGCATACAGTTGTCTCAGATGACATTTCCTAAGGACTTTTTGAAGTTTCTTGGTGATTTTTAGTGTATATAGTATATTCTCTAAAGTCAGAAACTTTCAACATTCTTTTTTTTTAAATTAAAAAAAATTTATTTAGTTTTGAGAGAGAGAGAGACACAGAGTGTGATCAGGGGAGGGTCAGAGAGAGAGGGACGCACAGAATCTGAAGCAGGCTCCAGGCTCTGAGCTAGCTGCCAGCACAGAGCCCGATATGGGGCTTGAACCCACGAACTGTGAGATCATGACCTGAGCAGAAGTTGGCCGCTCAACTGACTGAGCCACCCAGGTGCCCCTAAAGTCGAATTTTTTTAAAAAAATTTATTTACTTAGTTTGAGAGATAGCAAGCATACTGAGCATGAGAGGGTTGGAGGAGGGAGAGAGAGAGAGAGAGAGAGAGAGAGAATCCAAGCAGTCTCTGCATTGTCAGTGCAGAGCCTGATATGGGGCTTGAACTCAGAAACTAAGATTATGGCCTGAGCTGAAATCAAGAGTTGGAGGCTTAACTGACTGAGCCACCCAGTGGCCCCTAC